CTGCAGAATGGAGGTGTCTAGGTATGGAAACTGTCTTTGTTCTATGCCTTTTGTAGTGAGAGTTTCAAGGATGCCCACAGCATGCACAGCATGGAAATGTCCTGGAATCCAAGAGGTGGCTTTCCATCCCAAGAGCCATCTTCCTTGTTCCCAAATAAACCTTCCAGCTCCTAGGATGACTTCTTGCCTCTCTGCTCTCTCCAGGTCTGGCCATTTCCTGTCTCATTATCCAGTATGGTTCCTGGCCACACACAGAGACAAGTGAGAACAATTAGTGCTTTCCTCTGACAGCATTTTGGATCCAAGAGGTGGAAATGAAATGAGGAAATAGAGGGAGTTGAAAGAGGACCAGTGCAGACTCGCAGAAAGTTTTATCTGTCTTGGCAGAGCAGGACTAGTGTGTACATGTGTGTGCCTGCAGCTGAAGTCTGTCAATGTGTGAAAGAGAGGGGGTCTGTTTTTGTATCATGGTAAGTCTTCTGTTTTCTTCATTTCTCTGTTTTTAATTCACATTAAATATAGCAGGATTAAGAACTTGCATGTTTTGTTTGTTTTTTAAAAATAAACTGAATTGGCTGGGCACAGTGTCTCACTCCTGTAATCCTAGCACTCTGGGAGGCTGAGGCGGGCAGATCACTCAAGGTCAGGACTTGGAGACCAGCCTGAGCAAGAGTGAGACCCTGTCTCTACTAAAAATAGAAAGAAATTAATTGGCCAACTAAAAAAATATATATAAAATTAGCCGGACATAGTGGCGAGTGCCTGTAGTCCCAGCTACTCAGGAGGCTGACGCTGATTAAGCCTAGGAGTTTGAGGTTGCTGTGAGCTAGGCTGATGCCATGGCACTCTAACCCGGCCAACACAGTGAGACTCTGTCTCAAAAAAAAAAAAAAATTAAACTGAATGATGCTACTTCTCCCAAGAGAATGATGCCTCCCAAGAGAGTAAGGGATGAGGAGATTGGGCAGGTTGGGGTGGGAAGCAATTTAGCAGAGACTCAAGACCAGGGAGAGAGGAGGCCAAGAAGGAATTTCCAAAAATGGCTATAAGAAATGAGGGTGATTTTAATATAATTTTAAATCTTTTGCTTTTTGCTGTGATGCAAAACAAAACAACTCCATTGTTCCAACTCATTCAGGAAAGGCTACTACACATATACATGTCTTATGTGAGTGATTCTGGGGGAAAACCAAAGGAAAGGCCCATTTCTCAACTGGTAGGAACAGAGCAGAGAGGAATGCCATGAAAGGGAGGGTGCAGATGATCTCAGTGGCTCTAAAGATGCAGGAACTCATTGCCGAGAGAGAACCTGAGAATGTTTGTCCTCCAGAATTTGCAGAAATTTTCAGCCAGTCGCTGGGCTTCTCCCAGAATGAGGTGCCAATGAATTTATCCATTCAGTGAAATACATGGAAGCAAACTATATAAAATGATTTATCCCTAGGTATAACTGAAAGCTATTGCTTCTAATGGCATGAGTCAGCTTATGTGAGATGGGTACGTCAGCATTTAGAACTCTGAGGAGGCAGGAAGGACGGAGAAGATGCTGGCCATAGGTGTGGGGAAAGGACCATAGAAAAAAGTATCCCTGATGCAATTACATGACCCCCCCCCACCGCCATGCAGCCAGAAGTGCTCCCCTCAAAGACTGAAGAGCTTTAAGAAACACGGAGAGGTTTGCAGGATGGCAGGCAAGACAGGCTGCGTATTGTCTTTTGAAAACACCACTGGTCTCCTCTGAGGCAGCAGTGCACAGACAGCGTAGAGAACAGGCTGTGGAGACCCCTGTTCACCCCAGCCAGGCGTGAATGTTAGAGAAGGGGAGGCAGGAAAGGGACACAGAAGGGGCCAGAAGTCTGGCAACACACGCTGGCAGAGCTTGGAGGGGAGGGAGACTCTTGGACCGTAGAGGAAGGGAAATATGTCTTCCTCAAGCAGCTGGAGCCAGGCCAGCCTCAACTTTCCCCCCTGGCAGATGAGGAACCAACACAGGGTGAAGCCAGCGCCCTTCTTTCTGTCCCCACCGGAAAGCACAGAAGAAGAGCCAGATTTACCCTGAGACCATTAAAGCTTAAGCTTCAAGTCCCCTCACTTTACATGTCCTGTCTGAGGCCCCAGGAGGGGCCTTAGCAAGGCATTCGCATGATCACATATCGCTGAAAATTTGCAAATGCAGGATTTTTGTATTCTTTTTCCTAAAGAGGGTCCTCTAATTGTATAAGCTTTAGACTCCACAAAACCTGGCTCTGCCCTCACCTAGGAGGCTTAACACACACTTACTTTCAGGATGCCTTATGAGGAACACGTCCCTTCACCTGTTAGCAGAACATTCTTTGTTAGAGGACAATGTTAAGACTTTTCCTCCTTCAACTTGGAAACAAGAAGCTGAAAATGTAATGACATCACACACTGGCTGAAAATCACCTGCTCAAGTATGATCCCTCAGTCAACAGATGTAAATGAGTGGTACCAGATCCCAGGTCTGATTTAATAAAGGGGAATGAGAGGTGCAGAAGTTGAGGGGGAAGGTGGGAGTGATTTTCAGAGGTGGGTCCTGCTTACCTTTACTTGTCCTGGGCGGGGGAGGGGGGGACTTTTGTCTGCACATCTCGCCCTTGCCCTGTGTATTAGTGTTCTCTGAGAAACAGAACCAACAAGATGTGTGGATGGATGCTAGATGACAGGTACATGGATAGATAACAGGATTTTAAGGCCCTGGCTCATGAGATTATGAGGGCCAGCAAGTCTGAAAGCTGCAGGGCAGGCCAGCAGGCAGGAGACCCAGAGAAGAGCTGACTGCAGTCTTGAGTCCAAAGGCAGTCTGGAGGCAGAATTCCTTCTTCCTCAGGAGACCTAGTCTTTTCTCTTAAGGCCTTCAACTGACTGCATGAGGCCCACATAGTAATCTGCTTATTCAAAGTTTACTGATCTGAATGTTAATCATATCTAAAAAGTACCTTCACCGCAGCATCTGGACAGATGTGTGACCAAACAACTGGGTACCGTAGCCTAGCCAAGTTGACACATAACGTCAATCTTCACACCCTGCATATGAAGCGAGTGAGCCACTCCCTTGTTACAGCAAGCTCTGAATAAAAGCCTTTGCTTGTTCTCATTTGGTTGGTCTTTATTTCCACCAGTTCAATTCTTTCCTTTATTCATCCAAGCAGTTACTCAATATTTACTGAGCATCTATTAGATCCCGGACTCCATGCTAGGCGTTGAGAATAAGGAAGTGACCCAGATGCCAGGGTCCCTGCCTTCAACCTGATTACAGAACAGTGGGAGGAGTAAGCCAAGTACAGTCTGAAAAGGGCTACGATGAGGGGCAGCTCATCAACTAAACTTGGGGGTCAGGGAAAACACCCTAGAAAACTTATGTCTCCACAGGGACCTGAAGAACGAATATGGCCAAGGGAAGTGGGATGGAGAAATATTCTGGCAAGAAGGAAAGGGTCATGGGAAAGTCCCCAGGCCAGAGAGAGCATGAATATTTAAGGAGGTGAATAGTGAGATGGCCGGGCTCAGTGTTTGAGCCATGAAGGTAGAAAGACAGACAAGGGTGAGTGTCCTTCTAGGCCCCCTGAAGGAATTTGGCATTTATCCTGAAGTAATGATCACACATCCACTTTGAATACGGCTCCATATGGAGTGGGCCTGCAGGAGGGAAGACCTGGAAACTGGGAGACCAGGTAGGAAGCCAACAGGTGGTGGTGGTGGCTAGATGCGAGCAAACAGGAAACTGCTGACTGAGATGGCTCCTGGTGGCTTCAACATCAGCATCTTGGCTGGAGGCTGGCAGGGTGAGCAGGCGGGGGAGGCAGCCCAAGTTTGGGCAGCTGGGAGGAAGTAGATACAAACACAGAGATAATGAAAACCAGGACAGGGAGATGGAGGAGAAGAGACGAATTCTGGATGGAAATATGGAGTTTGAGGTGTTCCAGAAGCAGCTAGATGTATGAGTCTGAAGCTGAAGAGAAAGGGATGGGGAGAGAGCGATCTGGGAGTCACAGGCAAGTGAATGACCATTATCGTTATGAAGATGGGTGCGGACACAGGGAAGGGAGTGCAAGGCAGAGGGCTTAGAACAGCACTCCGGGAGGTACCGCATCTAACTGGGAAAAGGAAGAGAGGCGCTTGCAAGGCAGACCAAGGAAGAACAGCTGGGGAGGTAGAAAGAGAGCCAGAACGGGTTTGTTAACACAGAAACCAAGACTGGCATTGTTCCAAGAAAGGCAGTAGCCAAGAAAGCCTCCTTTCTTATTTTCCATTCCTCCTTCCTTTCCTTCCCCGCCCAGAGAAGGATGACGCCAGGACTTCGGAATGTATATTCACTCAAGACTAGGTGAACTGGTCCTGCTTTGCCCCAGAGTTGCCCAAGCTGCGTCAACAAAGTGCTGCTGGCCTTGGCCCTGGTCACGGAACAGACCTGATGATGAAAGAAGGAGAAACAGGCATTCTTAGGACAGTATTTCCCCTAGCCACACCCAGCTAAAGATTTCAGCCATATCTTGGTAAGGTGGAGCTGGAAGTTAATTCTTGTACCACACAGAGCATTATTCTCTTCTGACACTTGTCCATTATAGAGTTAGCTATTCAGTTCATTAGCCCGGGTTACTGAGTGCCTACCATGCAGCAGGTGGAAAACTAAAACCAATTTTCCTCTCTCCTCCGTAGCCTGTGAATGTAAAAGTGACCACAGGGAGAGTAATGAATCATTTTTCATGGTCCCTGGCCCTTAAAGCCTCACCTAGGCATCTCTCTGAAATGGCGCAGATCTCCCCAGCCTCCCCCCACCCCGCCCCCCACTACCCACTGCTGTGGCTGCCCTCAGCTTCCTTGAGTCCAGAGACTGCCCCTTCCCCACTGCCTGAAGTGGCCTTGGTAACTAGGTCGCTTTCTCCTCTGATTCGCAATTCTCCGACTACGCTGAGCCAGCCCCGCCCCCACCCCCCTGCAACTGCCTTCTCCGTGCTTGCGCGCCCTGCAGTGCGCGCTCCGCTCTCCGTGGGGCAGCTCCCCGCTCTCTTGCAAATTGTCCGGGTGCCCCGGGACAGAATCTGGGAGCGTGAGGGCTGGGAGACAAGGGCGGGAGAGAGGTTTGATTTTCACTGTTTAGGTTGGTTGGTTGGTTTGTTTTGCACTTTTGATTGTTTTACATTGGACAAAAGCAAGGATACAGCTAATGCGCTTGACTTTTTTTTCAAACTTGAATCAAAATATAAAGTTTGCCAACTGCACGGAACTAGCTGGTATGCTGAGGAGCGCAAGGAGCCGAGTTCTGCCAGACTGCCCCCGGCGGTGGCCACGACACTCCGTACCCACCCTCTTGTTCAAAAAGGGGTTCTGGAAGCCCTGCCCGCGTCCCTCTCCTCTCCTAGGAGCCGGCGGAGGCTGCGAGCGCGAGCTCGGACGCAAGCGCCCCTGCCCCGCCGGCGCCCCCGGGAGGCGCGCGTCCCCGGCCGACCCCACTGCGCGAAGCCCGTGTTCCTACCCGGACGCCCTGCCTCGCGGCCCGGGAGAGGACTGCGGAGCGTCGGCGTGCCCGGCTGCGCCCGGCCGCCGCCGCGCTCGGGCTGGCACCGCGCTGCGTACCGGAGGCGGGTGGGGGGCCGCGCCGCGCAAGTGTGGCCCGTTTTGGTCCCGCCTGGGTGCCCGGGGCGAGGGCCGACAGGGGAAGGAAGAGGAAAGATGGATGAATCATTGACAGGTGGATTGATTCAGTCATCTGTGCGTGCGATAAATATTAAGAGCCGTCTGAGCTTCTTGGCGGCAACAACAGACAAAACAAAGATCTCCGTCCGTCCTCACGGACCTGGGGTGGAGGAGTGGTTGGATAGAAAATAAGTAATGAATAATTAACTTGCTAAATCATGATGTTTAGCCCTAAGTAACCTAAACTACCTCCTCCCACACACTATTAAAAGCAACATTGCTTTGACAAATGCTCTCCAGCATGTGCCAAGGGAACAGCGTTGGCGAAAGCGTGCTGATAGGCAGAGGGCATGGGCACGAAGAGTAACGCAGTTGGGAAACCAGGCCTACATCAACAGCTAAATTTTTCTACTTATAAAGCATCATTTATCTCAATCATTGGGGCTTCTCAGAATTTCCTAAGTGCTTTTCCCTCCCTTTTTAGCAGCTAATTTTTGAAAAGTAAGAAAAGATGGCAGTTTCATTCCATAAAGTCATTAAAAACACTTTTGTCCACTCTTTAACAGTTCCTGGCAAATGGTTGCGGTGCCGGATGTGCCGACAGAAGAAAAAGCTCACATCCGAAAAACAAATTGTAGGTATATATGATTGTGCTATATGGGAATAACAAGATTTGTTTGTTTTCTATTTTTTTTTTATTTCAGCATATTATGGGGGTATAAATGTTTAGGTTACGTACATTGCCCCTGCCCAGCCCTAGTCAGAGCTTCCAGTGTGTCCCTCCCCCAAAGGGTGCGCACCAACCGCACCCATTTCACAAGATTTAAAGCCCAGACATTAGTGCCCAATATGCGAAATGGGATCAAAACCAGAGTGGTGGAAGAGAAGATCAACTTGGAGCAGGCCCTTGCCAGTCCATTTTTTTAAGCTGCAAAGCAGAGTAGTTTGTTCTGTATTTAGTTTGAGGACAATTTTGTGTGTGGCGGGGTGTGATTTGACACTAACCAATCATTTAAGTGGCATTCTCAAGCAAAGCCTACATTCACATGCAGAATTTATATGCAAACATGGCAACCCACCATGATTTACCCATAGACAGAGTCATGATTAGAAAATTTTTATCAATGATCCTATCAAACTTAATCCCTTCTCTTTTTTTATAAACAATGCTTTGTAAAGCCCATTTTCTATCTTGAAATGGAATTCATAGATAATAGAATCTACCTACATATATAATTGCAAAATATCACTATATCTGTCAATGCCCACCAGCCAAAGACCATCAGGAACACACTTATTTTTTTTTTTTTTTTTGAGACAGAGTCTCACTTTGTTGCCCAGGCTAGAATGAGTGCCATGGCGTCAGCCTAGCTCACAGCAACCTCAGACTCCTGGGCTCAAGCGATCCTACTGCCTCAGCCTCCCAAGTAGCTGGGACTACAGGCATGCGCCACCATGCCCGGCTAATTTTTTTTCTGTATGTATTAGTTGGCCAATTAATTTTCTTTCTATTTATAGTAGAGACGGGGTCTCGCTCTTGCTCAGGCTGGTTTTGAACTCCTGACCTCGAGCAATCCGCCCGCCTCGGCCTCCCAGAGTGCTAGAATTACAGGCGTGAGCCACCGCGCCCGGCCACACTTATATTGAACAAATTCAGTTTATTGCTCCCTGCAAGAGGAGAGAATGCACACCAATGGGAAAATGCAGAGTGTCTCAGAAAGAGGGTGTTAGACAGGACTTTTTGTAGGATTTAGGTTTTTGTTGGGCAATTTTGGGGAAGATTTGTGGAAGTAGTGCTTTGCTTTGATTGGATGCTGTCAAGAAATGGAAGTAATTCTATGGGTGGGTAATTTAATTAATTTTATCTAGAAGGAGGGAATACTAGAGCCAGGTTAAATCTATAATTGTAAAAAAAAAAAAGCAGCAGTCACTCATATTAGCCAGGACTGGGGGAGGTTTGGTCACATCTGTGGCTTGGAGAACATCCATGTTTTGTCTATGTTCAGACACGATTATGAAATGTTCTTGTTTTTATCCGGAGCCATCACCGTCACAGAGTGGCCGTACCTGATGCTGTTGCTCTGTGGAATTGCTTACATGCAACAGAACACCACAGCCTATCTGTGAATACTAGGCCAGCTCCCAGGTGCCAAGGACTACTTTTTTTCTCGCATTCTAACTGTAATAAAAGGAGAAATGAAATGACCACGCAGCACAGCTTTACTAGAATGCATAATACAGTCAGATGGTTGCATGAGTCAGTTTGGATTTAAAATTAAGAATATTAGAAGCATTTCCTTACAAAAATGCAGAAGAATGAACAACAGAGGTTCCAGTTAAAATAGGAATTAAAATTAGTGTTAATCCTAGCACTCTGGGAGGCCAAGGCAGGTGGATTGCTCAAGGTCAGGAGTTCATAACCAGCCTGAGTAAGAGTGAGACCCCGTCTCTACTATAAATAGAAAGAAATTAATTGGTCAACTAATATATATAGAAAAAATTAGCTGGGCACACTGGCATGTGCCTGTAGTCCCAGCTACTTGAGAGGCTGAGGCAGCAGGATCGCTTGAGCCCAGGAGTTTGAGGTTGCTGTTGAGCCAGGCTGATGCCACAGCACTCACTCTAGCTTGGGCAACAGAGTGAGACTCTGTCTCAAAAAAAAAAAAAAATTAGTGTTAAGATGTGTAATAATGCACCAGGTTCACTTATATATGACTAGAGAAAGAAGGAATCACCTTATTTGAAACAGGAATAACATGCCAAGCAAATTAGAGGCTGTCAAAGAGGAAAAATAAGAAAAATATTCTCAGAACAGCATTGTCCTTATTTCTAAGAGTAATGTTGAAAAAATTCCCTCTGTATAACACATAGCAAGCTAATGATGAAATACTTCAAAAATCAGGGGCCGGGCGTGGTGGCTCACGCCTGTAATCCTAGCACTCTGGGAGGCCGAGGCGGGCGGATTGCTCAAGGTCAGGAGTTCAAAACCAGCCTGAGCGAGACCCCGTCTCTACCATAAAAATAGAAAGAAATTAATTGGCCAACTAATATATATAATATAAAAATCAGCCGGGCATGGTGGCGCATGCCTGTAGTCCCAGCTACTCGGGAGGCTGAGGCAGGAGGATCGCTTGAGCCCAGGAGTTTGAGGTTGCTATGAGCTAGGCTGACGCCATGGCACTCACTCTAGCCTAGGCAAGAAAGCGAGACTCTGTCTCAAAAAAAAAAAAAAAAATCAGGTCTCCTATTTTGAAATCCTAGTATTTATTCAAAGTTTGCATTCTACTACTTAAAATGACCTGAGAGACCGTGTTCAATAACCCCCCAAATAATGCATATTTTAATACAGTGTGATTCACTCTCGCCCTTGCCCTGCCTCAGTTTTCAAACCTGAGTGGCAAACTGAAACAGACTAAAGGGACCATAACACCTACCCTATGGGGCAGTGCTAAGATTAGAGACAATGTCTGGGACATGCATGGTTCATGGTGCACTGAAAGCTGGTCATCGCCATCATTTTGGTCTGTACACACACATACTAAAAAACATGGAGAGAGGGGGTGAGTGCCTCCACAGGTTTCCTTGATTGGATGGAAGGTGCTTGATTGCATGTGCGTGATTTCGTCCACAGGAGAATCCCAGGCCCCCCCAGTGCAGGTAATAGTGCAGGTCCAAGACTGGGGGGGATGATGGGGGATGGATAGGACAGGTTTGGCAATAACTGAATTGCGACTTCCTTCCTCAGTTGGATATATGCGAAGTTCTGTACAATGTGCTTCAATATTTTTACCTTTGTGCCTATTTTTGACAGTGCAGACCTGCTGAAAAAGTTTTTTATTAACATTGCAGTAATGCAACTGTGCATTTTACATGATTGAGTTTGGGGCCCTGTTTATTTCATTGTGCCCTGGAGTTATTTTGTTTCATCAGGTGGTGAAGAATAAAGGTTAGATTGGAAGAAGATACTGTCAAATAGGAGAACAGAACAGGTCTTAGAGAGGTAGGGCCTTCAGAGGTGGACCATTTGGGACTGTATCAGAGTAACACCGAAAATCTCGAAAAACCACAAAGAATTCAAAATAAATAAAATAAATCACAATTTTCACAAAATGTTTATCTTCACATAGTGCTAAGCATATTGTGCTAATTTTTTTAATGGTCTATAAACCCATGTTGCCAACAAATTACAGTTGAGGCTCAATGTGTGGCACATACAATAAAATGATGTTAGAAAAAGGAATTTTTTCTATGAAATAAGTTTTAAGGGTTTTAAATACTGTCAATACCTTTGTATACATTGTCAGTAATTTTGAAAATAAATTTACACTGTGGCTCTTTTCATTTCTTAACCTTATCTGTGTGAGCAGGAGAGTTTCCTTATCCCACTGGGGGTTCTCTCCCCCTAGCAATGAAAATGTGCTGACCTGATCTCATTACACAGCTGCTATTCAACAGTTTTCACCATCACATTGATTTTTATTATAATAGTATCACCAGAAGTCAGTGGAATACAAAAATAATTTCAGTTGGATTTTTCCTATCATTCTAATAACCTATCATTTGCTGGCAATTTGAGTTTTTCTACAATATTATGCTGCTTACCATATGTTTTTATTATTTATGTTTCTGAAAGAAATAGCAACAACTTTACCTTCTACTCAAAGATTTTTTTTAACGTTCTGTGACTATTTTTCCATCACTCAGGCCAAAAACCTTGGACCTTTATGCTTCTTTTTTCCTTTTACTCCAAAATCGAATCCATTAGAACTCCTTGTTTCTGTTCCACATTCAGAATCTCATCATCTCCACTAGCACTAGCCTGATCATTTCTCGGCCTTAAGACAAGGTGATAGCCAGCCTAACTAGTCTCTCTGCTTCCACCTTGCCTTGCCCCTCCCTTCAAAACACAAGTCAAATAAAATCACTTCTCTGCTCAGAATCTTCTAATGGTTTCTCAAATCCCTCAGAGGAAAGACTAAAGTCAGGGTGTTAAGGATGATACATCCCAATGCTTCAAGCGCTTTGGTGCAACCTCAGCTGTGGGGCCTGCTGGCCAGGTGTCTGCGACTTCATACTGCTGGAGCATTTGTTCTATCCCTAGGGCTTGCACCTCTGTACAAGTTTGCTGTGGCTAAACCGAGAAAGACGACATAGGCACATTTCTACAGAAATTTTGATTTCATGAAAGATTTTGAGGAGATGAAAAAGGCTGGTATCTTTTGGAGTGCAAAGGGATTTGAAATGAATGAATTTCTTTGAATTAAATTCCATGGAAGTTGGTCACTGACCTATGTTCCTGAACTATGAAACATAAATATGTGGGCTATGAGAAAGGTTCTCTTAGCAAATAAACAATTAACAACAACAACAACAACAAAAACAAGAAAAAACAGAATCATTTCCATGGCCTACAAGGCCCTTCTGATCTGCAGCCTCACTGCCTCTGATCTGATCTCTTTCCACTCCCACTCTCACCCACTCACCTCATGTTAGCCACTTTCACCTCCTCACTGGTTCTGTAACACTCCAGCTCGCTCCTACCTCAGGGCCTTTGCATGACAATGTCTTCTCCTAGGTGACTTCACAGCTCATTCTCTCACCTCCTTTAAGTTGTGGCTCGAAACCCACCTCAGT